TAATAAAAATATGTTACCGTGACAATTTTAATCCAAAAGTGAGATGAAGATGATGCTCCTGCCAAGAAGGCAACTCCAAAAGCCATTTCCAAGAGGAAAACACAAATCCAAAATATCTATCAAAGATTTAGAATCTATCAAATATTATACAAAGAGAAGATAACCAAAAGAAAATATTGAATTTAAGAAACATACATTTTTCTGGCCTAAACGTGCGGCGAAAGAATCAACGCCATGTTTTATATCTCCTTCTACGTCTGGTATATCCTACACAGATTCAATACAAGGTTTTACATTATTGAACCAAAAGCTTGATGTTGGAAAATGAATACATGTCATGAGAAAATAAAGAGTTTACCTTGGCTAATGCTATACCAGGAGAGTAGAAACTCATGAACAACAGAAAAACAATGAATGATCTTGTAAACACAAGTGGCCTCTTCAACACAAACGTCTGAACATTTGTTACATCAATTAGCAATTTAGTAGATTTATTTCTGGTTCGTGGATTGAAATGGATGATTGAAAATCTTGGAATGAAACTAACCCAAAAATCATGGGAGAAAAATTTGTTATTATTCTTTGAAAGTGATAATAAGTTGGAATATGCTTATTCAAAACTAAGATCTATGAAAGGCAAAGATATAGTGATAGGACAGAACCTGCATATGAAGGAAGTATGCAATTGGATTTATAAATGTCCCACAAACAAATATGAGTAATGATGCCATCACCGGATATTGCTTCCATCGTAAGAAAGGCAACTGCAGAATATATATAAGAATACTCAGTGCACCAATACTTATACCTTAAAACATAATACTCAGTTTAAATGCCATTGGAAAGACTCACATTGACTGAATAGCAAGTCCATAATGTAACGCACACCACAAAGTTCCAAATCAATGGCGGAGAACCTATCATCAAGTTAAACCCTAAACCCTGTAAAATAGAATAAAACCGTAATTCTCCTTTTTCAATGAATCTAATCTTAAAATCTTTTATTCTAAAAAGTGATGGATTTATATGGCACCAAAATTGCAGCTAAGGCAACAATAAAGGCAGAAGTTCTGAAGGATAATTTGCCAGCAGCCAATGGAAGATACGGTTTGTTTATCTGCAATAAAACATGTAAAATAGATTACTTCTAAGAAACATTCAAAAGGTTTGTACACTCTAAAAAGTTACATGCCTTCACTATTGTTAGGTGCCTTTGAACCTAACCGTAGGTAGAAACAATAATGGAAGAATGAGATTTTTATTATTCGTCGTAAAAAAACTCTCTTTACAAATAATGGTTTGGGAGCATATACTCCCTAGTTGGGAGTCCACTATAACTAACTAACTGTCAAATAATTATTTCCTCTTAACGACCCTTCTCATTTAAATCCCTTATAACCTATACACCCTATATCCTATCATTCCACCCTGTTACAGAAAAACCTTGTTCTCAAGGTTGGAACCAGAAAGCTGGATCTCATGGCTCCTCTTCATCAACCTGTTACCATATGAAGGAACCCACTGGATGTTGCCCTCTAATTTAGGTTTGGAGGCTTGGGTGGTGGCAAATCCTATTCAATGACTTCCACTCTTTCTGGATTCTTTTAGCCCAATTTTGTGAAGTTCTCAAAATCTCAACTCTGACTTCATCGGCCCTTGTAGCAACAACACTTTTGGCAGTTGCTTTATCTACTTGCAAACTCTCATGTAAAATTTCCACACTCCCCATCTGTGTTACTACGGCCCAATTCTCATATAGATTGCTTCTTTTGTTCCCTTCAACTATCCTTAGTAGAGTTGGTGCCAGATTTTTCCAAGAAAGGTGCTTGATTTTTTTTATGCCAAGTCTTGCACCCCTGGACTACCTTTTCTTTGTTGTTTGGGTGCGCTTTTGTTGATCCTTTGGTGTTTTGAACTTTAGAAGCATTTGGGTGTCAATCCCTTCATAAGTGATCAACTATTCTCTTTTCACCCACGAAAAAATTGGTGTCTCCTCACCCCTCCTAGCTCCATTATTGTCAGTGGCATCCTCTTCTTTTTGCTCCCAATTGCTTGCATTTTCTCCTCCACCTAAGCGTTTCTTTCCTGTCTTTACTGTTTTGACATTCACACCACAATCTACCACACTATCTCCACTAAGAACAACAGCTTTTACAACTTTCTTAGCAGTAGTAAAAACCACAACTTTTGCTACTTTCTCAGCAGTAGTAAAAACAGTAGCTTTTTCAACTTTCCAGCAGCAGTCATACCCATGTCTCCATCATAGTTTTCATCATTGCCTTCCTCTCCACATATATTTTCTTCTCTCTTATCCTGTTCTCTAATTCTTGCAAAACCATCAACACTCAAAACTTCAGCTTCCGTTTCTCTTTTCTTCTCAAAAATAGAGCCTCTATCTCTTCCTTCGAACCCCATTATTAATGCCTCTTTCAGCCCTTTCCAAGAAAGGTTATTGGTTTTATTTTTCCAGGCCCTGAACAATTAGATTGTGCCTCTCTCCATGCAACTGTAAGCCAACCTGAGCCTCTCCTTCTCTGTGACATTTTGGGTGTCAAAAAACTTCTCTGCCTGAGAGATCCATCCCAATGGGTCCAGCCCCTCAAACTTGGCCAATTCTACATACTGCCTCCAATTCTGTTCACCCCTGTCTTCCTCCATTTCCTCTTCATCTAAACCCTCTTTCTACCCTTTCATGACAGATTCCTTACTTCTTCCTAAGCCCTTTATGTGAATCTTGATTTCTTGTAGCATTTCTCTCATTTCTTGCATATTTCTTTTGTATTCTTGCGTATTCTTCCTTCCATGCCTCCACCCTTTCTTGACCAATTCTTGATTCCTTCTTGATCTGGCAGCCCTCTCCTAAGGAGATTCGACAGTCCTCTCCCAAGCAGAATCCAACAATCCTCTCCCAAGCGGAATCTGGTAGTTCTTCCTTGATGATCCGGCAACTTCTTGGTCCGGCAGTCCTCCCTTGATGATCCACCTGCTTCTTGATCCTTCACCCCCACTTTGATCCGGCGAGTCGGACCAATTTGTTAGGTACCCAGGTTTGGAACCTAACAAGAACACTAACAGTAGGTAGAAACAGTAATGGAAGAATGAGATTTTCTATTATTCACGGTAAAAGAACTCTCTTTACAAAGAATGGTTTGGGAGCATAACCTCCCTGGTTGGAAGCATAACCTCCCTCTTCTGGCCAAAGTCCAGATTTACAAAGAATTCACTCAATAATCCCCTGTACAGAATCCACTCCCTATTTATAAAGTTTCTCTTCCCCTTTTCACTAACTAACTGTCAAATAACTTTTCCTTCCTAACTGTCCTTCTCATTTAAACCCCTTATATCCTATCAAAACATGTGGTAATTATAGGAAGACTTCCGATTCGAAATTATAAAGGGATTATTTTTCTACAAGAACCTGTAAAGGCATATAAGAGTGTGTGAAAGCTTTGAGACGAAGAGTCATAATAAACATATCAGCCATTTATGCAGAAGAAGGAATTGTCAACAAATCAAGAAAATCACTTTGAATTTTTTCAAATGAAGAAAATCACTTTGAATTTTTTCATGAATGACATGATAATCAATTTCTATATGTTTTGTTTGCTTATGAAAGGTAGGATTGTCAACTAGATAAAGGCATCACTAGGAACTTTTAAATTAGTAAGTAAATAATAAAGCCACTGTAACTCACAACCCAGAGTTGTAAGAACTTATGTTCAACTTCAGAGGAAGACCAAAATATTGTTGTTTGCTTAGTTTTCCAAGAAATTAATGAAGAGACAAGAAAGACACAATATCTAGTGATTAATTTTCTAAGTTTTGCATACTACAGCCACAATCAAAATCAGCAAAACTAGAAGGAATGAAAGATTAGTTGGATGCAAAATGAAGACCTTTAACATCAGCTGATAACGATGCACTCTCATGGCAGAGTGATGATTAGTCTAGTAGCTGTAAGATACATCAGTTGATCAATCAATTGACGAAAATTTAAGGGTCAAATAAAGGAGTGTCAGAAGAGCTATTTAATCTGGTAGAAGGTACCACAGGAGTGGATACTGGTTTGGCAGCAAATATGTTATTTTCTTCTAGTATTCTAGTAGTTGTCAACAAAAAATGGCTCACACTCTACCTACAGGCCTATTACACTACCCATTCCAGAACAGATTTAAGATGACATTGTTATGGATTTCATCTCGCGACTTTCTTCTTCCAATGGCTTTACGGTCATCTTAGTAGTTATTTATAGATTATCAAAGAATGACCATTTTTCTATATTAAAGGTTGATTACTCTAGCAAGTCAGTAGTAGAAGTTTTTGTTAAAACTATGGTCAAACTGCATGGCATTCCTAAAACTATTGTTTATGATAGCGACGAAGTCTTCTTAGTCACTTTTGGCAGTAGTTATTCAAATTAAGTGGTACTTCTCTGCATATGTTCATTGCCTACCACCCACAGTCAGATAACCAATCCGAATCTTTAAACAAATGTTTAGAAATGTACTTGAGATGTTTCACTTATGACTCTCCTAAAGATTGGGCAAGGTTATTGCCTTTGCCCAGAGTATTGGTATAACACTTCCAATCATCATAGTTGTGGCATGACTCCCTTTCAGATTTTCTATTGCAGAGATCCTCCTATATTGGTAAAATACACCCTTAATCCCCATGATTCTCCTTCGGTTCAAGAACAATTACTACAACGACATCTGACACTTAGCAAATTGAAATTTAACCTCCACAAAACTCAACAGTACATGAAGAAGAAACATGCTGACAAGAAAATAAAGTTCATGAAATTGCAAATTGGTGACCTAGTTTTTGTCAAATTGCAGCCCTATAGACGACATTTTGTTGCTCTCAAAAAAATCAGAAGTTGAGTATGAGGGTTTTTGGCCATTTCCCTATTATTCAAAGAATAGGCCAAGTTGCTTACAAACTGTTGCTACCACCAACAACTAAAATCCATCCAATATTCCATTGTTTCCAATTGAAACTTTACAAAGGGGATCATTCTCAACCTTATGAGTCATTATCCATCACTCATACTGAATTGTCACCTGTTATTCAGTCTGATGTGATTTTACAATCAAGGGTCATATTAAGAGGCCTACACTAAGTTTCATAGTATTTAGTTCAGTGAGAAGGATTAGATGTTGATAATGCCACCTGGGAGATCAGCTCACCTGCAACAATCTTTTCCGTATCTCAACCTTGAAGACAAGGTTGGTAATGAGGTGGAATTGTAACACATACAACAAGGGCAGAAGGGTCCACTGTAGCAACCCAGTTAATTTCTAGTTCAGTGGTTTTATTTCGTTTGGTTTTTATTTGGTCCAGTATCGCGTCTGTACACGTTACGGATATTTAATAGCCTTCTCAATCAATGAGTATTCAACGCAATTATACACTAGATTAATATTCTCCATAGGACGTATTTGTTGGTGACAGGGTTGAATGCTGTTGCCATCTACAAGCCTCAACTTGTTTTTGCAGAGAAGAGCAAGCTTCATAATTCTTGCCTAGGCATGATAGTTTTGTTCATTTAGATGGTGAGACTAAAGTTTATGCGGGTGACTCGTTGGCATGAAGATAAAGAGGATTCGAAGGATTAATGAGGTAATCACCATGAAAGGAGCTCTGGTCAACCATCGTGGTGTAAGGAAGAAGTAGAATAATAGAGACTTATACAATAAATCTACGTCAACTCTATAAAACCAATTGATAAAATCTGATTTCTATTTATTTATATATTTTAAATAAATTTTCTTCTAATAATAAATTTTAAATATAACTTAACCTTAGTCAATCGACTAATATATATTTATATATAATGGATACGATAATTCTAATAAATAGAATTCATAGGTATCGCAGAAAAATATATTTCATTAATTAATGTTCAGTCATGTACGTAGAGAAAAGCAAAAGTCATATATAAGGATAAAGAAATCATCCGTACAAAACAAAACGTGACAAATTCTAACAATAAATATATTTATTTGGTAATATGACTTGTTAAGTATTATCACCATTTTTAACGTCGAAGGTCATTCTAAAAATCCAAATATATTTTACTTTAATATGGGATAAACTGAATTAATTAAAAAAAAGATTCAGGGTTTTGGTCAAATTTTAATTTGGTGATGCTCCCATTAATAAAAAGGAAGGAGTACGTCAGTTAATATCTTATTCATAGTAAGTTTCATACCTTATCTATTTCAAAGTCAAACACTTGATTCACTCCATTAGCGTAAAGAACCATAAAAGAGTGAGGTAACACAGCCTGAAAAATTAAAAAACAAATCAAGAAAATGTCTTTTATTGATGTTAAAGGGTAATTTTAAGTTGTCTTTTAAAAAATAAAATTATATTTGGAGTCTGACCTGCAACAAACCAATAAAAACCAATGGAGATATATCTGATAGTTTTTCTACTGCAGTGAGAGACGCAGAAATTGTAGCTGTTGCCTGTAAAATACAGATTAAATTAATTTAAAACAACAACGTATCAGTTATCCAAAACTTAGTATATTGAGCATAACTTTTGAATACTAATTACGAGAATGATGGAAAAGTTTATACTTACCTGACCATACAATGCGTAAGGGTAAATAAATTGGTACACAGCAGCCATGAAATTTTTGACAGAGTCGACAATGTTTTTGGAGTTGGAAGCTTCAGATTCTGACTCAGAAGATGGCACAGTGACGGCTTTCACAACATAACTTTTATTGCTTTCTTCATATGTTCCTCTTTCAGTGTTTTTGTAATGGTTATTAAACGGTGATTGTTGAAACCTCAAAGGATTATACTGTATTTGAGCTTTTACATTGTGCTTAGAAGCTTTCGATCCACCAGAACCTAATGTAACAAAGTGTTCAAAGTTGTAGCATGCACAACAAAAATTATATTTAAAATTATTGAAACTACATCATGACAGGATGTTGCATTGAGGGAATGTTAAATTTGAAAATTCAAATTAAAAAAATCAAGCTAATAAAAACTATAGGTTTGTGAAAAAATAATCCAATTAATACTATTATTATTATTATTATTATTATTATTCTTATTATTATTATTATTTTTATTTTTATTATTATTATTATTATTATTATTATTATAAAACAGTAAAATACGACCACGTGGCCATCCCCGATTGGTTCCCAAGTTCAAGGCCCAACCTGTGTCAAAAAATACTTTGGGAGATAATTTGTGAAAAGTCGAAGTAACAGAAAAAATATTTTAAATAGTATATTCTTATATTATAACATTTTAATAATAATTAAAATTTAAATTTAGCCTAAATCAATATTCCCATACTTTATTTTTTATTTTAGTTAAATTATAATATCACATATATTTTTAAATGATTATATGTTTCTTCAGTTTTAAAGATTTTGTCTCCATAAAAAATCCCGTACCCATTAACTTTTAAATATAATTATAAAATTAAAAAATATGTTGCACCATTTTAAATATAACTACATTTTCGTAATATTATTACATTAAATTCTTTATCATTATCATCATTTTTATTTGTGAAGTACATTTTATTAAATAAATTTAAAAGTTTTCTTTTCTCAATTTTAAATAAATATAATATTGTGAATTAAATTAAAATTTACCTATGCATTATTAAATACTTAATTTTGATTATTGTTGTTTATTATAAAATATTGTAACTTATATAAAATAAATGAATTATAGTGAATAAGTAGTGGTGTATAATATTTAATGTTAATATAAAGATTATTAACATTAATAGGAGTTTGTAAAATATATATATATATATATATATATATATATATATATATATATATATATATATATATATATATATATATTACCGTACAGCATATATCTAATGAATGTAAATTTTTCTACCCTTACTAATAAAATAAATAAAACTAATTTGTTGGTGTCAGTATTTGAAAATTGACTAACATAAATATTTATTTAGTAAAAGCATTAAAAATAATTTTACTATTTAAAATCTTTCTAAAATTAATTATATTATGTTGTAAAAGATGATAATTAAAGGGAATTCTTTTTATATAATAAAAGATGATAATTAAAGTATATTATATAATAAAAGATGATAATTAAAGTATCTAATATAATAAAAGATGATAATTAAAGGTGATCATTTCCTTTTTATTCACACCTTCCACCTAATAGATGTAAAAAAAATTTAGAGTGAGATACTCAGAAAGCTAACCAAAGAACCATAATAAAGGTTATTAGTTGAAGGAATAGGGTGTAAGTGATGAATACTTTCACAGTAAATAGTGTTGAAGGAGAGTTTCCTGCCCCAAAGATTTGCACCTGCAATTACAATGCATGCTTCCACATATTCAGAAAATAATTTTGCAGTGAAAAATGAGGCAAAAAAGAAGACAGTGAGTATAAGTACCGGCTGAGAGTGAAGAGACGATAGGAGAAGATACTAGATGTGCCATAGCCATGGAAACTGATCACATAGAGTGAAACTAAACTCTATAGAACAGATGAGAACGTAGAGATACCCTTGTACAAGACAATATATGAATAAGAGATTTTATAGGCAAAAAGATTCCATGAAATTTGAATGGTAAATAGAAAATTATTACGCCGCAAATGATAGTCAACATTTTGCAGGCAAACAATTGCAAAATAATAACAGAACAGTCTCGCGTAAGATAGATTTAAAAGACTTTTTTAACAGGATTTAGTAGTTTAGATTTTAATAAATTAACAACGTAAAAGTTTAAAAAGTTTCGAAAGACTTTGTGAATTACATGGATTTTTGAAATATATAAGGTCGGACAAAAGAGAAAAAAAAACTGAAACATTTTTTTAATCTTTATTAATTTATTGATTGTAGATTTCACACATATTAAAGTAACACTACGTAGGTATCTAAATATATTTTGTCTTTCGTCTACCGTAACCTTTATGTATTTTTTTAAATAAAAAATAATATAATATAGTTATTTGGTTAGTTTATTAAAGTTTAACTCTGTTTCAGAGTGGATGTTGTGGAGGACCGAGAGACATACCTTTTTGTTGTACTCTTCCTGCTTTCTAATGCTTGAGTTTCATATATCGCTCGGTTGGACTCCGGAGGCCGTTCAGTTGCACTCTTGATGGGGGAGGTACTGCAAAAGACACTCTGACGCTCAAGTTAGAAGCGGTTTAATGAATTGTTTATCACAGTTGAATATTTGAGTCTCATAGAGTGTGAGTTGAATGTACCTGGCCTTTGGCCTTGTCAGTGTATTTATAGGTGTTTTATAGATCAAATAAAAACAAAGTTCCATGAAACTTTGGTTAGTTACTCATAAACGGCTTATCAATATCTCTAATGAGATATCTTTGGTTATTTTATTCTGCTGGAATGTTTGGTCCAATAATAATATTTTGAACGCCGGCCCAATTATTATATACCATACAAATTCTATATCACTTCACTAGTGTAGTTAGAGGAAAAGACAGAGGTTATTTTCGCCCATAGGAAACGGTTCCCGAACCGAGGCATATCCAGGCAAGGCAAAAAGTCAACTTTTTGCCTCGGTTCTGAACCGAGGCATAAAAGGGTAGGCTTTTGCCTCGGTTCAAAGTTAACCGAAACAGTAATTTTTTTTAATTTTTGTTTTCGTAGGACTTTATGCCTTGGTTCCCTCTTAACCGAGGCAGTATGTTCACTCTACTGCTTCAGTTGCCATCTTAACTGAGATAGTAGGGTCCTTTTTTATTTATTTTTTTTTTTTTTGCTTCATCCGCTAGCCTTTCTGCCTCGGTTGTGACCTTAACTGACACCATAAGAGTGTTTTCTACTTCAGTTATGGTCTCAACCGAGGCATCACTAGTGCAAAATCGGTATTTTAAATCGTCCATTAGGCTTCGGTTTTCGAAAAACTGAAGCCTATTAAAATACAGTGGCAATGGTGTAATATTTAAGATACCATATGCCTCAGTTTTAAAAAAACCGCTATACAAGGAATATACTGCCTCGGTTACTCAAGAGACTGAGGTAGAAAACGCTGCTGTATGCCTCGGTTTTAAGATAACCGCTTTTTAAGGAGTATACTAACTCGGTTACTCAGGAGACCGAGGTAGAAAACGTTGCTATATGCCTCAGTTCTAAGAAAACACTGTTGAGTCACCCCCTCATTTGCACCACCGTCCTTCCACTGCTCAAGTTACTCAAAATTCTCTCCCTTCCCTCTCTGTTCATGAATCTCCTCCACCTCTACGACTCCAAATTCTCTTCCTTCCATCTCCGTTCACGAATCTCCTCCACCTCTGTGATTCCAAATTCTCTTCCTTCTCTCTCCGTTCAAGAATCTCCTCCACCTCCGCGTACTAGAACACAGCCCCTTCCAAAACCCTAACCACTCCCTCAAGCCGAATCTTGCGCCCGAACTGAAACGGATTTCCCTTCAGCTTCGCCTTCAAAATCTCCTACGTCAGATCCAACGTCGTTCTTCCACGCTCATCCGCCACCTCACGATTCGCGCCCAGATCCAGCATCACCTTCGCAACACCAGGCCGCACGTACCTCGCCGCCATGTGCAGGCCGCACGTACCTCGCCGCCATGGACGATTTAAAGCACAACGGCGTTCTCGCTACGCTACACATGGCGGCGAGGTACGTGCGGCCTGGTGTTGCGAAGGTGATGCTGGATCTGGGCGCGAATCGTGAGGTGGCGGATGAGCGTGGAAGAACGGCGTTGGATCTGACGTAGGAGATTTTGAAGGCGAAGCCGAAGGGAAATCCGTTTCAGTTCGGGCGCAAGATTCGGCTTGAGGGAGTGGTTAGGGTTTTGGAAGGGGTTGTGTTCTAGTACGCGGAGGTGGAGGAGATTCTTGAACGGAGAGAGAAGGAAGAGAATTTGGAATCACGGAGGTGGAGGAGATTCGTGAACGGAGATGGAAGGGAGAGAATTTGGAGTCGTGGAGGTGGAGGAGATTCATGAACGGAGAGGGAAGGGAGAGAATTTTGAGTAACTTGAGTAGTGGAAGGACGGTGGTGCGAATGAGGGGGTGACTCAGCAGCGTTTTCTTAGAACCGAGGCATATAGCAATGTTTCCTACCTCGGTCTCCTGAGTAACCGAGTCAGTATACTCCTTGAAAAGTGGTTGTCTTAAAATCGAGGCATACAACAACGTTTTCTACCTCTGTCTCTTGAGTAACCGAGGCAATATATTCCTTGTATAGCGGTTGTCTTAAAACCGAGGCATATGGTATCTTAAATATTACACCATTGCCACCGTATTTTAATAGGCTTCGGTTGTCTTAAAACCGAAGCTTAATGGACGATTTAAAATACCGATTTTGCACTAGTGCCAAAAGCGTATATTTTGAATGAAAATTATATTAAAACATAAATACATTCAATAATCAACTTCTTAGAAGCATAAATCAATCTAATGTAATCATAAACCAACTTTGAAGTATAAATCAATGCAATGTACAAAGTTAAACTAATATAATGTACAAAAGCATAAAACAAATTAGAAACATAAAGTTAGAACTTACTATATCCTAATATCTACTACATACTATTACATAATTGAATTACATATTTAGTCCGTGCTTTCCTCACGAGTTTAAGTGACTTCTCTGGAATTGGAGCAGGCATATTGAATCTCTGCATAAAACACAATGATTTCAATTTGGTTGAATATTGACATTTCATTGTTGATTAAAATTTGAATATATTTGTAGTATGAAATCATAGTCAAGCACTGAGTGAAACTTAGTTCTCGTTTGAGATTTAACATAAACGATTAAATTTTAATCATTTGTATTAAATTTCGAATTGTCCGATCGGATTGTTTGGAAAAAATATATTTCATAATTTTCTATAACATGTATGTTGGAGTTTATGGATAAGTTTGATAAAATTTGGTTGGGATTATTTTGTATTGTTCTATTAATTCATGTTTGATTGTGGTCATCCGTGGCCACTTTCATTTCGTGTATTTTTGGAGACCAAAAAGAAATTCGTGACCATTATGAATATTGGAGACCAACTGTATTCTCTTTTCATTGTAAGCTTTGCGTCACTATCCTCTTAAGTTATCCTATTGATTTTCTTTTCAAGAAATATTATATCTATAGGCTTTATGGATATTTGTATGTTAGACTGAGCTTGTAGCCTTAATACATGTGCAAGCATGTTTTTTCAGTACTTTGCTGAAAGTAGATTGTACGATCTTTTTAGACTCTGCTTCAATTAATGAACATTCTGTGAATATCTCCTTTGTTTCTAATGTCCAATTTTTTATATTTGACATGTTGTATTGTGGATGCATGTAAATAGCTTATCTACAAGATTATAGTAAATTGTGCATGCAGCAGATACGTCTTTTCTCATCACTTTTGTTGTTTTTGAACGTTGAACATTTAATGCATTTAATGCTTGCTCAGAATAACAAAGTGCTTTTTTATTTTCTACTGCTAGGTAGCATTTTACATTTAAGCTCTTTTCGAAAGATACCAAGTGTATATAGTTACTTCATCGTTATACGTACTTGTTAAGCTTATGGTATCGTTTAATCAAATAAACTCTTCTTTTGTTTTTGTCTCTTTTTAGACAGATAATGTTTATCTTGTTCAAGCATTCTTTTGTATTTTGAGTTTTTATGTCTTTTAAAAGGTTTTGTCAAAGACATCGTCTCGACCTATTTTGTTTTCAAGAGCTATGCTAAATACCTTTTTCAGCTATGGTAAGGATAAAACATTTAACTTCAACTCTCTTAGATGCTTTAGGCAAAGCAGCGTTTAGCCATGCGTTTAGCCATGCGTTTGGGTGTTTTGACCTAAATGTTTTTATATTTTCTAAGAACCTAAGTGTTTTCCTAAGTTTTTCTATGTTGAGAATTTTACCACATATGACCTTCTTTCACTTGCAGTCCCAAGTTCATATCTTGTAACTTCTCGAATAACTTTAACTCCTTTACCATCAAGGCTGTCATTTAAACTTTCTTCTTGCTTAAAGCATTAGCAACAACATTTGCTTTACAGGGATGGTACTGCAATTCAAGATCTTAGTCTTTCCAATACTCCATCCATCTCCTCTGACGCATATTCAATTGCTTCTGATCGAACAAGTATTTCAGATGTTGTGATCATTAAAGACTTGAAAATGCGCCCATAAAGATAATGTCCTCATGTCTTTAAACCAAACACCAGTACAACTAACTCCATGTCATGTGTCAGATAATTCTTTTCATGTACCTTCAACTAACGAGATGCATACACCATTGGTTTCTTTCCTTGCAGTAGTACACATCTCAGTCCTTGATATGATGCATCACAGTACACCTCAAAACTTTCTCAGTGTTTGGAATCATCAACACTGGAGCAGAGGTTAACTTCTTCATCATCTCCTCAAAAGTTGACTCACATTTTTCTGTCCAAATAAATGGTTGATTCTTACGACTTAACTGTGTCAACGGCCCTACTCTCTTCGAGAAT